TCTTTTTTTTTTCGCCCTACCCACTGATGTATCTCCAAAAGAAGTAAATTAATATAGCAATCAAACTTGCATGGCATCTAAAGCATTCAGTCTTGTCTACGTTAGTGATAACCAAGTGTCAATAATTGCGTCATACTTTATGCTTTATATTTTTACGAGGTCATAATTCAGTCGAATTATCATATCCCTTTTTGGATTTCAAAAATTATTCAAATGGGTCAGAACGGCTCCAATGTTTTAAAAATTAAAGAATTTGAACTAAAATCTTTATAAACTCCAAAATGAATTAAGAACAGATATCTACCCTCAAGAAAATCGCCGAAGTTCAGTAAAACACTCTCTGAGAACTTGGTTGCCAAAGAAACGGCACGTCACGTGACCAAACGTTTGACCTACAAAACTGTTCCCTGATAGAGTTAGGAACAGTGAAAAAATTCAACCATTATGTCTTGAATGCTCTTTAAGTTAAATAGTTTTAAATAAGCGCTGACACTCTGTCCTTTCTCTTTCGCCAAAGGCCAAAGAGGGTTAATCCTCGTGTGTACCTGTTTATGCAATTTTGAAAAGTTTCAATCTTTAATAGATAACCTATTTCTGTCGCCTACAGGCTGATGGTATAATATTGTGAGATAATTTAGTTTTATCAACTGGGTTGATAATCATGTGTGAATTGGCCAACGTAAAGAGATTCGAGAAGCTCTTTACGGTGGCCAATTCACATTTATCAACTCAGTTGATAAAACCAAATTATCTTGTTATACTCCCCACCGACGCAGCACCACAGTTTCTTTAGAAACTTACCCCCTTACCTTTTCGACGTTTTACTACATCAGTAGGTTTCTTATAATTTAAACATACTTCTGGTCCAGAATATGATTCTGACAGCTTCCAATATTACATAATTATCATAAACATCAATTTTCTCGTAAGTAACAAAAACCTATAAACCACACCCCACTTGTCCTTAAAACCCCCCACTATTTGTCAGCCGATTTTCACCAAATTTTCAGCATATAATCTCAAAGATAAGCAAACAGCTACTCAAATTGACAATTGCCTAGAGAAAATCCTCTTGACAAAGTTTTAAACAATCCGCGGGTGGAAGGGGGGCGGCATCCACTAACACAACTTTCTAACATTGATTACAATTCATTAATATCTTGCGTTACTTACTTACAAATAATATCTTATCATGCCTGAAGTTAACTAACTTTACTTTTCTATGTTATCTTGTCTAAAGTTTAACACAAATTGCTAACTGATATCGATAGCTGTATTTGGAGCAATTTTGATATCAGTCCAAAAGAAAAGTGGTGTTTTCTTGACAGATAAATGACTCGATCTTGATAGCAGTCTGCCCTACCGTCTAGGGTTTCGAGACAGCTAACCCGGAAAACACTTCAAGTTCTTGATGGAGTCCTTAACTGCTCCCCTCACGTCTTTTATTTTCCAACAGTACAGGAATGGATTCAGCGTGGAGTTCAACAAAAGAAAGGTAATCGTTACAGCATGGGCTCGGTGAAGATTTGTTGAGTGTGACCCAAGCACGCCACGCAAGCCTGTTACAACAGCAAATGGTAGATAACAAACAAGTAAAGTCATTTGTACCCACAAAGCACTGGACACGGTCTTTCTGTATCGTGCTATATTCAGTGGAATTCGTGCTCCATTTGGTTTTCCTTGGGACGTATCAGACTTTACTTGAGCTTTGTGACGGTGAAGGGTAAGATAAATCTTTATGTAGCAAAATATGGAGGTTACTAGACATAATAGCATTATTATGGAAGCAATCGTTTCAGCTATGCGACGCTTGTAGAGCATTGCTATTGAAAAGCCAGTGCTAAGAAGCCAAAAAAAGATCACAAGGACCCATACTCGCCTCAAAGTTACCACTTGCCTGTATCTTAGCCTCAATATCAGGGCGAGAAGTCTGTCTACACTTATTGCCGATATTGTTAACAAAGATACTCCGGAGAAAATGAAGCCTATTGTATTTGAAAGTATGGTAGAATAGTAGCAAAGTTTGGAATGTTCTGGAGCGAAAATAAAGGTTACAAAAAGAGGATGTGAAATTAGGCCCACGCAGAAATCTGTGCTTGCGAGGCAACCAAAGAGAAGTTTTGATGGCGGATGAAGGGAAGAGACTTTTTGAAGCGCAACAAAAATCAGAACATTCCCCATTAAAGCAAGGATGGAAAGGAGAATATTCAATGCTGAAATAATTGTTCGATGTGTTTCCTTTAGGCTCTCCAAACAACGGAACTCTTGAATTGTCGTGCAATTTCCAATTTCAGTGAAATTCGGCATCATAATTATTCCCTTTTTTCTGTTATCAAAAACTTCTTATCTCCAGAGTCTTTTTCGAAGATTCCTACTTTAGATGACACAGTCTCATCTGCCTTTCCTGAAAACAAAAAAAAAAACAAAACAAAACAAAAAAGTTTAAAGTTAAGTGCGGAAAGTAGCTTTCCTAGACAACTAACATTGAGCAGCCCTTAGTGAACGACCCAGGCATTTGCATCTCACTTCTTATGTCACAGAATATGGACTCACGTATGTCAATATGCGAGTGATACTGAGTAAAAAGAAAGTAACCATTTCACTACGAGCAACAAACTATTCTTCAATCAGAACAGTGTCTTGGCGTTTCTATAATTCTGTTGTGGTTTCTGCCGTGGGCTAAAATTGCCATTTTTATCTGAGAGTTACAACTGCTTTTGCGCGTCGCTTAAAGAAAGACCAGTGAAGTTTGGAGAAGAAATTTGGAGAAAAATGATTCCTATGAGTTCGTTGTCAAGACAGAACACCTGCCACTTGGATAAAATGAGGTAAGAAACCCGGGCCGAACAAAACGAGTAAAGAGGAAGGATTGTTCCATGAAAACAACAAGACGGAACTCACCGCTAGCGACAAAGGCCCATCGTTCCACCAACCTATGGCCTCCAAAAGATTCTAAGTATAGTACTTGGGTAAAAGCTCACCTTACTGAGTTTCTAACAGTTTTCTCGTTTTCTTTCGGATTGGCGGTTGATCGATTTTAGTTGCTAGTTTCGCATTCGTTTTTTTTCCCCTTTCGCTGAAGAGAGTACTTTGTTGCTATTCAGTTTTCTTGTGCCGGAAGCCTTTCTTTTGTATCTCAATTTTCCGTCATCGCAAATCAATATGAATGCAAAATAGTATTTTCCATCAAATTGCAATGGGTTATTTTTACTGCCTATCTTGTTCCAAGCTTGTGTTTCATTGGCCGACAGCATGACAGCGTCGATATTTTTTTTGATAAGGTGTGGTAAGCTTGCAAAAGTGTATGAGACAAAAACTCGGGCTTCAGTTTTGAATCAATATAATAGGGTATATTTCACTAAAATTGACCAAAATGTTCCTCGATTATCAATTCGCCGAAGTGTTTTGTTTTTGATATTTCAAATATGTCCTTACTTAGGCCTTTTCATGTCGCGAAGATCGGCCAAATAATATTATATCCGTCTAATTTAATATATCTTCTCTCATTAACCAGAAGGAATATCGAAAAAGCCTCACGCACTTTTTTTAGTCCTTCATCGGCTGATGGGCAAGATGCAGCTTGTTTTATCGTAAGTGCCAACGCGAATCCAGGCAACCGAGTTCAGCAACCATTGTCAGTTTTGCGTTTGAAGGCTTGCGCCCACTATCAATAACTGAAATCTTCAAAATAGTTATTTCTTCTGATTCTTCATTTGATTGGCTTTACGGTGATATATATTCTTGTATAGTTTTGTTAAAAGTGATACGAGTACAAGACATTTCTCAAAAGACCCCTTCTGAAGGTCTACGGTAACCTTAAGATTAAGATGCAAAACTTTATTTTCCCAAACTTCGTGTTTGCTAACAGTATTTTGCTGCTCCTAGTCGTTTTTAGCGACTCTACGTCGTACAGTATTATCATACAGAAGATGAAATCTTGAGTGAGTCGACATACATTATTGTTGTAGTTACCTTTTTTTCTTGATCCAGTTAACAGAGCTCTTCAACTGAACTTGGAGGCTGCTAAAGAATAATTTTCAAAATAAGATGAACACAGCAAACAAACATAATTGAAACATGTACATGTAAGTTTTTTTCCCGACAAATTCAGGCTGTAGCAGGCAAAGAGAGTCCACAATGTACCACATTTCCATTCTGTTTTTTCAACTGCCTACCTGAGCGATGGGTACAAAATAAAGTGATCTGATCTTCTGGAGGCCTCTTTCAGTAAAATACAGTCTTCTCAACTTTGAGGAATATGAAAATTTCACAAATGCTGCTTATGATTAAACTTCAGTAGCTGAAAGCGTTTCAATTTACGTTGATCCCTGTCGCTTGAAGTAAGATTAATTGTCATAATTTGATGTTCGATTTTCGTGGGCTAAAAAGAATTGAACATATATGTTGACCAATGGCTCTTTTTTGATTACTGAAAAAGACGTCCCCAATGTCAAGTTCCTGAGGTACTGATAAAAACAAAACTCCGAGTAGAGAGCGTATAAACTTTCACTAACAGGAAATCGAACTCGCGGCCCTTGGTGGTCCTGATTACTTTAGGTTGAGACATTTTCGTCGACATTTCCGTGGATCTATCTCATGCGGCTTTAGACCAATGTCATCAAATGTCAGCTTGATGATTCCATTTCCGTAAAGAGTCATCAACGAACTTTGAGCTAATAAATATATCACCTGCGTTATCATTTACATGCAACTATTCAGTCCAATTAAAACTATCTGTTTCGGGCAAAGATATTTGTAAGACATAGTTTCTTTGCAAAGTCGAGGAGAGAGGAAAATTGCTGTACAGGGATGACATAAAGAAAGTCATCTCTATCACCGCCAGACAAACATGAAGCCACTGGTAGTCTAGCTGTTTTAATTAAATTTTCTAAAATTGTTTTCCAAAGTATTCATTTGAAGCACTACTTGAAATTCAAATTCAGATTCAGTTTCATCCCTCAGTTCATTTTACTGTGTATATTTTTATCACGATGAGACTGGTACACAGATAATAACCCTATGTCACAGCAATGAAGCACCTGCTGGTGAGGAAAATGAGAGTCCATATAACTTGCATTGATACTTTCCAACCAACCAGAAGGCAGTAAGGAAACTACAGCTTCTTACAGCTATTTGCTTACTGTGTACTGCCAGACCCCATAGTTAAGAAAACCTGGCATCGAATACAGTTATTCAACTTGTTACAGATTTTAATTGAATCTTTTTAACGGCTACGCACAACTTCTGAAAGTCTGGATATGCTTGGCGGGATTTTAATTATCGGTTAAATTTTAGGTGATAATATAGGGGCGCTTTCCATTTGACCAAACATTCCGGTGTGAATTTCCGGAAATTTTCTGGGGCGAATGGAACAGAATTTTCCAGAGTGGTAAACGAGCCGCGCAGGTTTGTTCGCTTTTCAGTGGAATTTTTCAATGACTTCGAGGCTTAAATCGCAAATATAGAAGTAAACGGAACACTGATAAGTCGAAATGTGACTTTGTACAGAACACAAAAGCGCCAAAAAATCGTAATTGCTGAAGGGACTACATTTAGAGGACGTTACTCTCTTGAACAGAACAGTAATAGCAGATAATTACTTGGTATTTCTAAAATAAATCGCAAATAGTACATAAAAGTTTAGTTGTGTGTTCTTTTTGTTTGCTAGGGAGAAAAATAGTCTTCAGGGCTTTTACAGATATTGACAACTGAATGAAACAAACAATGGACGATCTTATCCTGCTTCCATATTAACAGAATCGCGAGGGAAAAGTGAATGATAGTAAATACGGAGGATTGTAAATATTGATGTAATTAACAAACACCATGCCGAGTCTCACCAACTAAAAGAAATAAGTGGAAAATATTTTTTATTACTGCTTTACGTTTATATCCAACCCCAGCTATCTTTTCTCAGAGTATAGCCTTTATCTTCTTTTGTATACAGGACAAGTAATATTTTCGACGTCCACGTAGGGGCCAAACCACCCCCCAAATGTTTCGTCAGTTCTTGGGTATTTCACATTATTTCACATTACTTAAAAAGTATTGACTGTTTCTACACCAAACTTGGCAGATGAACAGGAGACCTATTGCCAATTATATTTACGTGAAAAATGTCAGTAAATGTCAAAGTTGTGACGTCAC